GAAGGAGAGAGGGAAAGCTAGCAGAGACCATTTGGGAATCAGAGAGGGCCAGCTAGCAGAGACCATTTGGGAAGAAGAGAGGGCCAGCTAGCAGAGACCATTTGGGAAGGAGAGAGGGAAAGCTAGCAGAGACCATTTGGGAAGGAGGGGAGGGGGCAGCTAGCAGAGACCATTTGGGAATCAGAGAGGGGCCAGCTAGCAGAGACCATTTGGGAAGGAGGGAGGGGGCAGCTAGCAGAGACCATTTGGGAATCAGAGAGGGGCCAGCTAGCAGAGACCATTTGGGAAGGAGGGAGGGGGTAGCTAGCAGAGACCATTTGGGAAGGAGAGAGGGGCCAGCTAGCAGAGACCATTTGGGAATCAGAGAGGGCCAGCTAGCAGAGACCATTTGTGAAGGGGAGAGGGCCAGCTAGCAGAGACCATTTGTGAAGGGGAGAGGGCCAGCTAGCAGAGACCATTTGGGAATCAGAGAGGGGCCAGCTAGCAGAGACCATTTGGGAAGGAGGGAGGGGTCAGCTAGCAGAGACCATTTGGGAAGGAGAGAGGGCCAGCTAGCAGAGACCATTTGGGAAGGAGAGAGGGGCCAGCTAGCAGAGACCATTTGGGAAGGAGAGAGGGGCCAGCTAGCAGAGACCATTTGGGAATCAGAGAGGGCCAGCTAGCAGAGACCATTTGGGAAGAAGAGAGGGCCAGCTAGCAGAGACCATTTGGGAAGGAGAGAGGGAAAGCTAGCAGAGACCATTTGGGAAGGAGGGAGGGGCAGCTAGCAGAGACCATTTGGGAATCAGAGAGGGGCCAGCTAGCAGAGACCATTTGGGAAGGAGGGAGGGGGTAGCTAGCAGAGACCATTTGGGAATCAGGGAGGGCCAGCTAGCAGAGACCATTTGGGAAGGAGAGAGGGGCCAGCTAGCAGAGACCATTTGGGAAGGAGAGAGGGGCCAGCTAGCAGAGACCATTTGGGAATCAGAGAGGGCCAGCTAGCAGAGACCATTTGTGAAGGGGAGAGGGCCAGCTAGCAGAGACCATTTGTGAAGGGGAGAGGGCCAGCTAGCAGAGACCATTTGGGAATCAGAGAGGGCCAGCTAGCAGAGACCATTTGGGAAGGAGGGAGGGGCAGCTAGCAGAGACCATTTGGGAACCAGAGAGGGCCAGCGAGCAGAGACCATTTGGGAAGGAGAGAGGGACAGCTAGCAGAGACCATTTGGGAAGGAGCGAGGGCCAGCTAGCAGGGACCATTTGGGAAGGAGAGAGGGCCAGCTAGCAGAGACCATTTGTGAAGGGGAGAGGGCCAGCTAGCAGAGAACATTTGGGAAGGAGAGAGGGGCCAGCTAGCAGAGACCATTTGGGAATCAGAGAGGGCCAGCTAGCAGAGACCATTTGTGAAGGGGAGAGGGCCAGCTAGCAGAGACCATTTGGGAAGGAGAGAGGGGCCAGCTAGCAGGGACCATTTGGGAAGGAGAGAGGGCCAGCTAGCAGAGACCATTTGTGAAGGGGAGAGGGCCAGCTAGCAGAGACCATTTGGGAAGAAGAGAGGGCCAGCTAGCAGAGACCATTTGGGAATCAGAGAGGGCCAGCTAGCAGAGACCATTTGGGAAGAAGAGAGGGCCAGCTAGCAGAGACCATTTGGGAAGGAGAGAGGGACAGCTAGCAGAGACCATTTGGGAAGGAGCGAGGGCCAGCTAGCAGAGACCATTTGGGAAGGAAGTGGGTCCATCTGGATTTGGAATCTGACGCTACAATCGAAGGTTTATCATTGGAAACAGCAAAAAAAGACGAGATCGGCTTGGCTTTTGGCGCAGGGGTCGGAGGTTATTCGAGGCTCCAAAACGGCCGTATGGTAGCATAGCGTAGTGGCTTGCCCCGTCGGCTAGGCCGTCTTCCGTTTCGTGACGCCTGGCTATCGTTGCTGCTGACAAAAGCATTTTTCTTAAAAGCGACACTTTGAGAAACTGGGGTAACGCAAGAAATCAGCCAAAATTTTTAAATTAAGGACCAGGGTTCGAAATCTGATCTTCAAAGAATCGATTTTTATCTTCAAAGAATCGATTTTTATCTTCAAAGAATGGATTTTTATCTTCAAAGAATGGATTTTTATCTTCAAAGAATCGATTTTTATCTTCAAAGAATCGATTTTATCTTCAAAGAATCGATTTTTATCTTCAAAGAATCGATTTTTATCTTCAAAGAATCGATTTTTATCTTCAAAGAATCGATTTTTATCTTCAAAGAATCGATTTTTATCTTCAAAGAATCGATTTTTATCTTCAAAGAATCGATTTTTATCTTCAAAGAATCGATTTTTATCTTCAAAGAATCGATTTTTATCTTCAAAGAATCGATTTTTATCTTCAAAGAATCGATTTTTATCTTCAAAGAATCGATTTTTATCTTCAAAGAATCGATTTTTATCTTCAAAGAATCGATTTTTATCTTCAAAGAATCGATTTTTATCTTCAAAGAATCGATTTTTATCTTCAAAGAATCGATTTTTATCTTCAAAGAATCGATTTTTATCTTCAAAGAATCGATTTTTATCTTCAAAGAATCGATTTTTATCTTCAAAGAATCGATTTTTATCTTCAAAGAATCGATTTTTATCTTCAAAGAATCGATTTTTATCTTCAAAGAATCGATTTTTATCTTCAAAGAATCGATTTTTATCTTCAAAGAATCGATTTTTATCTTCAAAGAATCGATTTTTATCTTCAAAGAATCGATTTTTATCTTCAAAGAATCGATTTTTATCTTCAAAGAATCGATTTTTATCTTCAAAGAATCGATTTTTATCTTCAAAGAATCGATTTTTATCTTCAAAAGAATCGATTTTTATCTTCAAAGAATCGATTTTTATCTTCAAAGAATCGATTTTTATCTTCAAAGAATCGATTTTTATCTTCAAAGAATCGATTTTTTATCTTCAAAGAATCGATTTTTATCTTCAAAGAATGGATTTTTATCTTCAAAGAATGGATTTTTATCTTCAAAGAATCGATTTTTATCTTCAAAGAATCGATTTTTATCTTCAAAGAATCGATTTTTATCTTCAAAGAATGGATTTTTATCTTCAAAGAATGGATTTTTATCTTCAAAGAATGGATTTTTATCTTCAAAGAATCGATTTTTATCTTCAAAGAATCGATTTTTATCTTCAAAGAATCGATTTTTATCTTCAAAGAATCGATTTTTATCTTCAAAGAATCGATTTTTATCTTCAAAGAATCGATTTTTATCTTCAAAGAATCGATTTTTATGTTCAAAGAATGGATTTTTATCTTCAAAGAATGGATTTTTATCTTCAAAGAATGGATTTTTATCTTCAAAGAATCGATTTTTATCTTCAAAGAATCGATTTTTATCTTCAAAGAATCGATTTTTATCTTCAAAGAATCGATTTTTATCTTCAAAGAATCGATTTTTATCTTCAAAGAATCGATTTTTTATCTTCAAAGAATCGATTTTTATCTTCAAAGAATCGATTTTTATCTTCAAAGAATCGATTTTTATCTTCAAAGAATCGATTTTTATCTTCAAAGAATCGATTTTTATCTTCAAAGAATCGATTTTTATCTTCAAAGAATCGATTTTTATCTTCAAAGAATCGATTTTTATCTTCAAAGAATCGATTTTTATCTTCAAAGAATCGATTTTTATCTTCAAAGAATCGATTTTTATCTTCAAAGAATCGATTTTTATCTTCAAAGAATCGATTTTTATCTTCAAAGAATGGATTTTTATCTTCAAAGAATCGATTTTTATCTTCAAAGAATCGATTTTTATCTTCAAAGAATCGATTTTTATCTTCAAAGAATCGATTTTTATCTTCAAAGAATCGATTTTTATCTTCAAAGAATCGATTTTTATCTTCAAAGAATCGATTTTTATCTTCAAAGAATCGATTTTTATCTTCAAAGAATCGATTTTTATCTTCAAAGAATCGATTTTTATCTTCAAAGAATCGATTTTTATCTTCAAAGAATCGATTTTTATCTTCAAAGAATCGATTTTTATCTTCAAAGAATCGATTTTTATCTTCAAAGAATCGATTTTTATCTTCAAAGAATCGATTTTTATCTTCAAAGAATGGATTTTTATCTTCAAAGAATCGATTTTTATCTTCAAAGAATCGATTTTTATCTGCAAAGAATCGATTTTTATCTTCAAAGAATCGATTTTTATCTTCAAAGAATCGATTTTTATCTTCAAAGAATCGATTTTTATCTTCAAAGAATCGATTTTTATCTTCAAAGAATCGATTTTTATCTTCAAAGAATCGATTTTTATCTTCAAAGAATCGATTTTTATCTTTCTCGTACTCTGCAGCTAGCAATCGATTAGTTAGGATTAGGTTAGAACGACTAACTTTAGCAACAAGATTTTCAAAATCGCGATCAAAAAATCGATACCCATGGAATCTCTCCGAAAAACGTAAAATAAAGTTTATTTTTGCCATAACGCGAGAACCACCGTAGCTGTGAGACTATAAGTCAGGATTGTTATTTCGTTGTTGTCCGCGCTGTTGTTGAGAAGCTGCTGGATGGCGTGGCTCGGAGAGAGACTCGAGAACCTCGGGGTCCACTTTCGGCTTGACCACGTCCTTCTTTTTCGGCGGATCCTCCTCCCATCCGATATCGTCCGGCTAGGAATATACAATTGTGTGGTTCAGCTAAAGCAAAAACGCTAGCAGGATGATTGGAGGAAATGGAATGGAACTAGCAGGAGAGACAAGGAGAGAGAGAGAGAGAGGGAGAGAGAGAGAGAGAGAGAGAGAGAGAGAGAGAGAGAGAGGGAGAGAGATTTTCGCAAATTCCGTGTTAGCATTGATTTTTTTTGTGAAGAGCAGTGGTAACAATGATCAGAAGACAACAGCAAACGTATTTATTACGAGTTGTACAAACAATCACTGAAACAATAAAAAGACGGGCGGTTCTTTGTGGTTAGAATTCACGGTCGCGTCGGCGTGTATTTGGCGTTTAAAGTGGCGGCTGGCTTCGGTTGCCTCATTCCTGCAAACAAGCATTGGGTTGGATGTGAGGGGCTGGCATGGATAGCTGCCCCGAGAGAGGCATTCCGCGTGCTTCGGTAGCTCAATAGGGAGAGCATCGGACTCGAAAGCCGTAGGATGCGGGTTCGAACCCCACCCGGAGCACTTGTTTTGCGGATTGGACCCGGAGCTAGGCCATGGCCATGGGACCCCAGAATTCCCAACTATTGGGTGCTGGAGAAACGATTATTTCGAATTATCGGGGGGACCGGTATTTTTGATGTCTAGTAATGCCGAGTAATGTATCAGAAAGTATTTTTAGTTGATTTTAGTAGGATAGTATAGTATAGCAACAGCACCATATCGGTGCTAATGCACTTGGGGGGCAATCCGGATTTTGACTACAAGACGCTCCAAATGCCGTTTTTTAACTTGGAGCCTCTGGAAAGGCTAAGCCTAAGCCTTCATACAAATGAAGCCTGAGCTTAGCTTGAGCCAAGCTAAGCTTAGCTCTGAGCTAACCCCTAAATGATCCCATTGTGACCTTGTAAGGCAATTTAAAGCCGAAGATACGCTTAGCTTGGGCTTCGGCTGAAGCCCAAGGCTAAGCTAAGCATAGGTAAAGCTAAGTTAAGCCGAGGCTTAAGCTAAAAAACCAAGTAGCTAAGCTGAGCGCCTCGTAACTAGGGTTCTTTCGCAATATCGGGGGGGGGGGGGGGCACAGAACTTTTTTTTGAAGACTAGAAATGCCTAGCAACTTAATAGAAAGTGATTTAATAGTGTTTTTAGTCATAGTAATAATACTCTACAGCTAGAAAACTTTTTAAAAACTTTTAAAAAAGTGAACTGTTTAAAAACACATCCACTATTGTTATTTGAAAAATCAGATCCTGAAGAAAAAATTTGGTACCCCCCCCCCGATAATGCGAAAGAGCTGATGATAGTTAAACATATAAAACCAAATGCAAAAAGATACCAACCACTTTGTATAGCCCGAAAAACTCATATTGAAGCTATTTTTATTGGAGAAAAAAGGAGTGCCCCCGTTCACTTATTCCCACCCCCTCGCTATCCTAGCTCACTGAGAGTTGTGTACCCACAGTTCGACTGACCGGCTTGAAGCTAATGGTGCCGTCCTCGTCGATCGCGAGCGAAGTGTCGATGGTGGGGAGGACGCCCAAATTCGGATGGCGCAGCTTGAGCTTACGCTCGAGCTCGTCGAGCTAAAAATATATTCGAATCTCGTGGCTTCCGCTTACTCGCTTCTTGCGCGTGTCGAAAGCGGTGGTCATCAAATCATTTTTGGATTTGAAGCCGGACAACTGGAAAACGTGGTGTTTGCTGAGACACAGTGCTTACAAGTAGACTTTGAAAACCCCCCGAGAAACCCCCCCGGGGGAGCAAAAAATACCCCTAAAAAACCCCCCTGAGGAACCCCCCCGCGGGGGTGTTTTAAAAAGCCCCCCGGACAGATGTTCGTTAGTGGGACCGAATTGGCACCGATGAGTGGGCCAGGTATGCGTCTTTTGCTGAAAGGTGAAAGACGCGGATCTGGCCCACTGATCAGAAATACCAGTTCGGCCGATCGAGCAAATGGAACTTTCGAGAACCCGAATTTTGGTTCAATTACCCAAGTTTGCGGCGGGGGGGTTTTCAAATGCCCCCGGGGGTATTTCTCGGGGGGTTTTCCAACTCTACTTACAAGGAGTGCCTTTTGGGTGTCCTCGGCAAATCCCTTCGAGACCTAGCTCATTCGATAGAGAATTCGATTCTGAACAGAACCCCGTTGTTCTTTTTTGCAGAATGGCTATCACTGATTTTATAAAATTTAAAACTGCACCCAAAAGCCTCCCTTTTGGCTCGAAAGGCACTCATGGTAAGAGACGGTCACTAGTATTTGAATTTTATAAAATCAGGGATAGCCATTCTGCAAAAAAGAACAACGGGGTTTTGTTCAGATTCGAATTCTCTATCGAATGAGCTAGGTCTCGAAGGGATTTGCCGATGACACCCAAAAGGCACTCCTTGTTAGAAGGGAAGTGCATATACTTGTTGGCTTTCTGTATGGCAGGGCTGGCAGTCATGAGGGCCGGGCCGGGTTGAGATTTTGGAGATTTTCGAGGATCGGGCCGTCCCGGGCCGGCCCTTTGCCAGGCCTGCCATGTGGGAGCATAGCAAAAGTGATATGGAAGGAAAGCTTACTGGAATCGACAAAATCCGTAATTTTCATTTTCCGGGTATTTCCATTCGTTTTTCGTACAAAACTTTGACGCGAAATATCCGCTAAATGAGAGCGCCTACGGTTTTTCTGGCAACGGCACGATTTTCAGTGTGGTCGATTACCCCACAGCCGCTTGCTCCCATATGGAAAGCCAACTTAGGTATATGCACTTCCCTTGTGAGATTCATACATTCTCCGTCAGACGATCGAGATTGCGCTGGAGACGGCGCAACGCTTCGTTGATCAAACCGATGGCTGGCGAATGGAGGACCTGAGACTCGGCCTGGAACAAAATTAGGCCACGCACATAGTCACTCCAACCTTTAGGGCCTCTCCAAAATTAAGACCGATGATGGCCAGCTCGTCGAAACCGGGCTCGACGCCAGCGGCCATGCGGGCGGCCTCGTCGCGCTTCTTTCCTTTCTCCAGTAGCTCATCGGCTCCCTCTCCATCAATGGCGCGCTTCTGGAAGCATACGGTTATGTGGTTCAGGAGCTCATAGCAGCAAAAGGCGAGAGAGATAGAGATAGAGAGAGCGAGACGAGATAGAGAGAGAAAGAGCGACAGAGAGGGAGAGAGAGAAAGAGAGAGAGAGAGAGAGAGAGAGGGAGAGAGAAAAAGAGAGAGAGTGAGAGAGAGCGAAAGAGCTATTTAGAGAGAGATAGAGAGAGATGGAGAAAGGAAGAAAGAGATTGAGAGAATGAGAGAGAGAGAGAGAGAGAGAGAGAGAGAGAGAGAGAGATAGATTTCACTAACCATGCTTCCATAAACTTGGTTCTCGTTTGCTTCGTTGACAAGCTCGTCAATTGGGTAGGACTTCACCTCGACGGCCAGCTGCTGCTGGACGAGCTGCGCATTGGGCTCCTTCGGCGTAAACTTGTCGTCCAGCTCATCCGACTATAAATATACAGTGTGAGGGAGGAGGGAGGGCCGGAGAGAGAAAGAGAGAGAAAAAGAGACAGAGAGGTAGAGAGAGAAAGCGGAGAGAGAGAAATAGGGAGAGAGAGAGTAAGAGAGACAGAGAGACAGAGAGAGAGAGAAAAAGAGAGAGCGAGAGAGAGACAGTGAACGAGAGCGAGAGAGAGTGGAAATGGGATTCACTGGATACCTGGGCATCCTCTTCGACATCCGAGCCGCCAGCTTGCCGTTCGGTAAACTCCATTTGCTCCAAGACGGCGATGCGCTCGTCCATCTAAATTGCTGGTGCGAAGTGAACAACCGAGAACCACCTTTTGCATTTCTTCCGTTTCGGCGGCGACTAGCCCGCGGTGCAAGGCGACGCCAAGCGCGTGCTAAAAAAAGGTTTTAGACTCGACTCTAATCCAACTTTAATAATATCTGGTGTTTATGGCATCTTCATGAGTTTTTGATTGCTAAGAATAGAAATAAGAAATTTTGTGGAACTTCCAAGTTTTGTCTTGTTTTGGTGAAAATTCAAATTCAAATGCCTATTTCCAAAATTCATGATGCCTTACATCTTTAGCATTTCTTATGTGTTTGTCATGTTATAATGGTAGAAAAGCTGGTTCACGGGCGTAAAATATCACCTCGTCTACCAGACGTTTCAAGTTGGCGATGGCCTCCAAATCGGCCCGAATCTCTTCCAATATGCCGGCATGGCGGGCTGCGGCCTGAAAAGTCACTTTGTCGGGTTAGGGTCCTTTTGCATGATCGGGGGGGGGGGGATGTTTTCACATTTTTTAGTAGGTTTCACCGCTTCGGTTTACCTTACCCCACCCCCAGCCCGAGGGTTGCCAAGTTTTGGATAGTTTCGTTATTTTTCGAGATTTTGTTGACGCCATTCGATAGAGCATCAAAAAAATATCATAGAAGTTTTAATTTCAGCCCAAAATAATGTAATATAAAATAGTTACAGCAAAAACAAGATTTGGCTTAGGTGCAGTTTACCCCCCAGCCGTAACTTTTCAGCCATACGTCCTATTAATGCGCCGAGTATCTCGAAATGTTCCCCCTGGCCGAACATCTAAAAAAGTTGTTTCCTTACGGCAAAAATTGTCAGAAATTTTTTACAAGATTTTGAAAGTTGAAAAGGTTATGCCGCTATGCTTCGATGTACCAGAAGTCAAAAACTCAAATATTTTTGTTTTCTGCTATTTTTTCAACTCAAACGTACTGTAGGCTTATTTTACAGAGCAAGAGCCACATTTTGGTACTATTGACAGCTCTGTACGACGAAAGATCCTATCCTATAAGCGAGAAAAGTATGTCTGTTTTCTGTGCAGCCGATTTCTCGGCCGTCAGGCCGAATTTTGCGCTGATTTTTGGCATGGAGGTGGAGAAACACATCCTCTTTATAGGCATTTTTTTGTTTTTCGAAATTCCCTCATTTAAGGATTTTACAAGCAAAATAGTGGAAAACCCTTAACATTTTGGCCAAAAAAAGGTTTGTTCAGAGGATATCTCGCGAACCAAAAGGAATTAGGCGCTGATTGTTGGAGGGCAGATTGAAAATCGAATTCTCCCGATATATAATTTTGCGTTTTTTCAGACTTTGTAAAATAAAATTTTTATGTGCGTTTTTCTAAAAAGTCCTTAACAAAGTGGGCTGCGCGCCGTGGTGTTCTGTCCATAACTCGATGCCCATTTGGAATTTCGGGCTGGAATTTGGACAAATTATGTATTCGATAGTGGGGATCACGCGCATCTTATTATCGTTAGAAATTTTCAGCAGATTCAGACTCAAAGATCGAGTTGTGTAAAGTGACCAGGAGGCCACCCGCCCAGGATCATTGGGGCGCCCTTTTCTTTGCCACCCCTCCCCCGCAGCCTTCCCCAGAAAGAAGAGGCCTTTCAGGACACCCTTTCCCATCGTCTCTGTGGTGTAGTGGGTTGGCGCCCGGTCTACCACACGTATGGTCAGGAGTTCGGGTCCTGGGAGAATCCAACCTTTTGCTTTTTGGTAGTTTAGCAACAAAACGTATTTCTAGGCTCCCGATGTGCGAGGTTTAGGCCTGACCTTCGCTCTAGCGCCGCAGGCCCAAGAAAAGGGGCTTGAACCAGGCTCTTGCGCCGCAGGCCAACGATGGGTCCTTGGCCCAGGCTCTTGCGCCGCAGGCCAACGATGGGTCCTTGGCCCAGGCTCTCGCGCCGCAGGCCAAGCCTGGGGGGAAAACCAGTAACTAGCGCATCAGACCTAATTATCCTAGCGCACCGCTGTCTCTGACGCCGCAGTCCAAAGAATGGATCCTTGACTCAGGTACCTGCACCGCAGACCCAAAAAAAGAAGGTATTCAAATTCATGGTTTCTGGACGGGGTCCAGTGGAAAAGAGCCGCGAAGCGGTCTTTTTCCACTGGTAGCGGAGATAAACACACCCTGGAGCGGCAAAAATTAACTAAAGAAAACCCAGACTAATAATTGTTATAAAATTTTTTTAACAATTTTTCGCACAAGTTAACAAGTTTTTTAGAGGTTTTCGACCACGGGGAACATTTTGAGATACTCGGCGCATTAATAGGAGGTATGGCTGAGGAGCTGGGCTGGGCTGGGGGGGGGGGGTAAACTGCACTTAAGCCGAAATTGGTAGTAAGGGGTACGAGACGCTCCGCCAAAGCTACTTGATTTAAAGCCTAAGCCTAGGCTTAACATAGCTTTAACTATGCCTAGCTTGGCTCAAGCTAAGCGCAGGCTTCGTTTGCAAGAAGGTAAGCTTTGGCTAAGCTTTTCCAAAGCCTTCGAGCTTAAAAACGGTATTTGGTGAGACTTGTAGTCAAAATCTGTCATAATTCCCTAAACCGGGTGATGGTTCAGAAACCGCGAAGCCGTATTTCAAATCGGGTCAGTACCGAAAATCATAGGAAACTAGAGATGTTACTCTTCCCGACGCGACGTCGGGATAACATGCAAATGAAGATGCAAACTACAAAATAAGCTGAACAAAACGATTTTGTGAGCTTTGCATCCTAATTTGCATGTTATCCCGACGTCGCGTCGGGATGCATAACAGCTCTATGGGAAACCCACGTCAGCCATCTTACAGGACGGAATTGGCAGAATGTGATTTCCCATGAACGAAGCCATGAATTTCAGGGTGCTGCTGAAAAGGGAATGCAAATTTTCTTTTTTTTTTCCACAACAAGAATCCACCTAGAAAAGAGCCTTTGCTTCATAAGCAACGAAGCTCAATGTTTCATCTACCGTACCTCCCCCCCGATATGACACTTGTTCCTGTAGCGCGTATCTGAAAGCGATCATGCTTTTTATAATTTTAGAAGGTGCACATGGTCAACATCATCAGTTTTCCACAACAAGAATCCACCTAGAAAAGAGCCTTCGCTTCATAAGCAACGAAACTCAATGTTTCATCTACCGTACCTCCCCCCCCCCGATATGACACTTGTCGAAAATAGAATTTTATACTAATATTTTCGTAAAGATGATTCGCCCCATCATCTCCTTCTCCCCCCGGACAGTCACCTTTTCCCCTACATTTTCCTCCATCTCGGCCACTAATGGCCTCCCCTCTGGCCCTCTCCGCACTCTGCATCTTTTCCCCCTCCTACGTGGCTATATATATGTGAGTGCAAGCCCGAATAAACAGTCTGACCATCGACTCAAAGGAAACGCGTTGAACATCTAAAGACCGTTTTCTAGATTGGTGCGTCGGCTATTTCCCGTACCCGACCCCTTTTCCGATTTGATCCTTCGGGGAGCCTTTTTTCTTGCAGTTGCGTGTGTGGTGCTCCCGCCCCGGCGGTTATAAGCCCCCTCCAGCTTCGAGTCTTAGGGTCATCCTTGGGTGATTTCGGACCAACCGAGGCGCCGTTCGTCGCCTTCCTCTCCCGCGTCGGCTCTTTTCCGTACCCGACCCCTTCTTCGATTTGTTCCCTCGAGGAGCCTTTTTACTTGCAGTTGCGTGTGCGGTGCTCCCGCCCCGGCGGTTATAAGCCCCCCAGCTCCGAGTCTTAAGGCAAACCCTTGGGTGATTTCGGACCAACGGATGCGCCGTTCGTCGCCTTCATCTACCGAGTCGCGCCATAATCCTCGCTTTGAATCGGCCGACCGAATCGTCGTTATCATCCTCGGGCCCCCGGCGTCTCTGCTCCGGCCCTGATCCTAATCGATCGCCGTTCCAAAGCAGCTCGCCAGCTCAGCCCTGCTTCTCGTAACGTGCCTTCGCCCCTCGCTCGGCCTCGTTCCCCGAGCCCTCTCCCGCCCCAGCCCCTCTCGTGGTGCTCTGCGGTCGGACCCTCTGAAGCTTTCCGCTTCCCCCAGGGCACAGGAGAAGGCCGCCACTCACGACCTAATCGTCGCTCCCGAGCCGATACGCTGCGCCGGGCTGCCGTCCTCTCCGCCCCATGACGTCGGGTATCCAAGGTGCTTGGACCAAGGCGGTTGCTGGCTGGTGATCTTTCAACGTGCAGGCGAATACCGTTTTGGAGGAGCGAAGAGCCCAATTGCTCAGCGCCGCTGCGGACACTCAAAATGGCGCCCATGCTTTTTTCGAGGACATGCTTCAGCACGCCCGGCAGTACCGCTCCGCCATCAGGTTTATGAGCAACGCTGGAGCGCTCTGATTGCCCAGTTCCCCGCCGAACGGTTGGAACCCGAAGATGCTAAGTTGGCCGCCTATATGCTCGCCGAGGATGGTCCCAAAGAGGCCTTCCTGGATGCGGGTGAGACGATCGACAACGTGCAACAAATCCTCAACCAAGCGTTTCAAGAGAGGCACAAACTTGATGATACTCGTTCGACGGGCTCCGCTCCTCGGCCTGAACCGCCCCGCCTCGAGTCGCCGCTTACCCTTCCCGTCGCAGGGTCTGCCTCCGGCGCCGACGCTCGAGCCGAACCTCGCGAAGATGCGGTTCTCCGGCGCCCTCCCGCCTCACCTCTCCCTCCCGCCAGCCCTTGGTCCACCCCCGCCGCCGCGCCGGGGCCGAGGCCTTGGCAGTGGCTGAACCCAGACGCCCCAGGTGAGCCAGGCGGCCGGCATCTGTTTCTGAGCTTGCCGAAAATGTCCATCCCGAAGTCCTCCGGTGACCCTCTCGAATGGGTCGCCTTCGAGAAATGTTTCTCCGCGGCCGTGATCCGCTCCCACCTGCCCGGCTTGGCCAAGATGGCCCATCTCCGCTCCTCCCTGATCGGCAATGCTGCCGGCACCATTGCTGGCTTCGACCTTTCTAATGAAGCCTTCGAAGGAGCGTGGCAATACAGGGTGCGGAAAAAGTTTTGGGTGGCACCTTTTTATTGCGAAAAGTTGTCGTTCTAAGCGATACCGCGCTAAATCTGTGGTGTCAACATAGATTCGGGCGTGCTCTATCCGATTCTGAGAACCATAATGGTTTAAAAATTATTTTCCACATGAGAATCGTCTTGGAAACACGGAGGCTCCAGAAATGGTACACATTTGGTTGTTATGAACTTTTGGTTATAATGCTCCGGATCTTATCACCAGGCTTTCCAGAGTTTCGGATTATGAAAGACAGAGAATAAGCATTATCCCATGTAAATCTTACATTTTTTGATCAGCTTTGCTAAACCCTGGGCACAGTTGAGTTGAAAATAAGCAGCGTGCCGCGGTTTCCGGCTTTTCAACTTTTTGTGAAGCTCAACCTGCAGTTGTTTTGATGTATATCCCACAAATTTCGACGTCAACCATCTTGATTTAAAATATTCATATGCTTAATCTATCATTAATGTGGCGATTCGCGGTTTATGGGCTGTAAGCCCCCCAGCTTCGCAGCTGTTTCCCATGCCGTTAGGGGAATTGCTCAGAATTCAAAGCGCCAGAACTCTCTGAATTTGAATTCAGAAACTTTGTAATTTATTGGGGTGATATAGGATAGGATTGGCAATATCTGGACGAAATCTCGTGAATTTTGGTGAAGAGTGTTGCACAGGGCATACGGTAAGAGCAGCAAAAGCGCTGCGTGCCGAAGGTGATTTTAGCGCGACGCTTTCAGTGCAATGACCCCCGAAAATTTCAAAAATTTGTTGACTTGTTGGTGCCTAGTGTTTCTCACGTCACCCTTTTTTAGTCTCCCATCCAAAAAAAATCCAGGCTGGAGCACGGAATTTGTGAAAACATAGCTAATTCTGCCACCCAAAACTTTCTCCGCACCCTGTATGTCTGCGAGAAATTCGGCTCCCCAGAACTCCGCAAGGTCGCCATCTACGATCGCCTGGTGGGCCTCCGCTGCCCCGATGACAACCCCATGGACGTTTCCCGCTTCCTCAACCAAGTCGTGGGACTCCTCGCCCAAGCTAAGCGAGTCGACCTCGACCAAAATCAGCGGGCCATCCAGCAAGCCATCGAGAAGGCGTTGCCCTTCTGGATGAAGCCCTACCTCTTCAGCGCTCGTCTCAACGCGGCTATTTGGAATACGGACGCCCTCATGGCTCATTTGCCCCGACTGGTGGAACACGCCCCGGCCAAGCAAGCGGCACTGGGCCGCCCGGCCGTTTCGGCGACGACGACCCTCAGCTCGCATTGCTGCATCAGAGAATCTCACTCTTTTTTCGAACCCAAAAACCCTTTTTTTAAATAATCTCTTTTTAGCTAAAGAGAATTTTGCTCTTTTTGACCGAACTATGTTCTTAAAATATTCCACTTGCGTGCGGAAGAGTTTTTTTCTGTATTTTGGGGGCGGGAACGGGGGTTAGTTTTATTATTCCCGCGTAGGGCAGATGTCGCTATCATTATCTGCCTGACCTGAAACGAGTCCCGACTCTGAGGCGCACTAATGCCCGACAAAGCCACTCTCCACGTCACCTAATCTTTATGCAAAAGAACTGGAGCTAGCTATAATAGAACAAGCAACACAAATACGCTTGCTAGTTAATTCTTATCGACTCAATACGACATTTCGGAAAGCTCAAAAATTTGCGCTAACCCATCTAGTCTGCATATCTTTCTACTGGGGGATTGGGTATTTACTCGGGGGCTTTTACCCAGGAAATGATGATTTCCATCGTAAGAATGGTTAGGGCCTCGCAATAATAACCGTACATCATGGTCAGACCCCTTATGGTTTTTACTAATTGCATTATTTCCCTTTCAGCGCTTCTTACCACGTATTATTATGATTTTTTGCTTGGGGCGCTGACCCTAAATAGCCAAAGCCAAAAATATCGGCTCGCCGATGGGACCGCTCGTGGTGATTACCGTAAAGATATATCCTTGGTGCTAAAATCGTCCTATCCAAACCAAATAAGTTTGATAAAAATAATGTAGCAAGTGGGGTCTGTTCATTGGCATGGGGGAGAGGGGAGATGTGATAGGAATCTATTAGTGGGGAGGGCAAGGAGAGGCCCAGACAGAAAGGGGCGCGCGCCCCGTATTGCAACCTCGGATTTCACATAATCCGGCCGTATCTCAACGTAGAACGTTTATTTTACGATAATCTCTTCAGTTAATACTAAAACAATGTCTAGTGCATCATTATGAGAAATTTCAGCCCAAGCGGACCATGACAAGGCACCTTTTGGCCGAAATTTAAATTTTGAACTTCAAAGTTCAATAAAAATTTTTTGAAGGCCTATTTTGAAAAAAGCGCTTCTTCCTCACCGAGATTAACATTAAGCCAATACCTGTGCAAATTTTCAGCTCAAACGGACCATGGGAAGTCACTTTTCGCCGACTACAAAGGTTTTGCGGACATACAAACATCGTGACAAACGCAGACCCCCCCTGAGTACAAAATAAAATCGCTCTTAAAATTCGAAAATCGACTTTTTTAAAAATTTGAAAAGCTGATCTTATGCAAAAAATCCGGCCGGTTCCGGTGGTATATTTAGTTTTACGATCCGATGCATCCTTTCCGCTGAAATCGGGTAAAGGACCCAAAAAGAGCCGCGTGGGGGGGGGGTACCTCAACCCAAAAACCCCCGATTACTTATAGTCTAAAAACCATGATATGAAATAGCAGTGAAAAATGCCGCTTCGCGGCATCTGAAAAATCTGGAAACACTTGCTTTTGATTAAGCGATGAAAAAAATGGACAAAATAATCGAAAATGAAAAATGTTTCGCCCCAAAAAGGCAAACCTGCTGTTCATAAAAACCCACTCAATTTAGCGAACCCCCTTCGTCAACCCACACACCCTTCTTCGGTACGTAGCGAAGAGCGTTTCTGAAAACAAGCGTTCGTGGAATTCATTGAAACACATAGACTCTATAGCTATGTTCATAGAATTTTTGGTACACATAGGGTAACGGGGGGAATAACGGGAGGGGATATACACTCAAACTTTTTATATGATAAAAGTATTTTTAAATATGCTTTTTTCGGGCTGTAAAAAAACTCGCAGTATATTTTTCGGTCCTCTATCGAATGGAATTTTCAAAATCTCGAAAATATTCAAAACGCCGAAAAATCCCCCCCTCTGTTATCCTATGTGCTGCCCATAGTTTTCAAAAATAGTTTTTAGGCGATAAAACTTCTAAAATACATTTTTTCGCGTTGTAAAAAAATCTCTTAGTATATTTTTTGATGTTCTATCGATTCGCGTTTTCAAAATATCGAAAATCTCAAAAATTTGGCTTTCCCCCGTTATCCTATGTGCTGCCCATGGATTTTGATCAATTTTTGTTTATTCGATAAAAATTTTCATTTACATTATTTCGGGCTGAAATGATTTTCCTAGGGCAGTTTTCGACGCTTTATCGAATCACGTTTTGAAAACGCCGAAAACTTCGAAAATTTCGAAAATTTTACTTGCCCCCCCCCCCCCGTTATCCTATGTTCTGCCCATAGATTTTCCTCAATTTTTGTTTATTCAATAAAAAATTTCCATTACATTATTTTGGTCTCAAATTAATTCTCTTAATATATGCTATCTATGCTATACCCGATGCTATCATGTGTTTTATAATTTTGTTTTTTGTTTGGGGTGTTTTTTCAGCTGGGCTCGCGTAGTTACGTTTTTCGAGGACGTTTTTTCGGGCGACTTACGAGATGATTATGGTCCGAACGCTTGATTAAGAGCGTTCGAACTCTCTGGTTCGCTGTCAAATATTGAAACACACTGGCCCAAATCAGGGCCGGTCAGCATGATAGTAGATAAGATGAGTTAGTCATCGAAGGCCCTTTAAAAAGGCGAGCTGCCAGCCATCTCCATACCGTTATTTTTATTAGACACGCTATTTTATAAGTCCTTTTGTCATATTTTACGGTTTTTACGGGACGCGTATGCGGGCCAACTTACATCAATTTCTCCAAGGGAAGGTTTTTTGAGCTCTGCCGGATGCTGCCACCTATGTAAGATAAACATTATAATTTTTTGCCGAAGACTTTTTTTGAAAAAGATATAAACTTTCTTTAAACTTTTAGCCTTTTTTTGCTTTTCTTGAACTACACTTTTTAGGGCTTTGTAGATAATTTTTTGCTGCTTCGATATTTCATTAATGCAGGGCCGGCTTCCTAAGCGGTATAGATGAATGTAAAATAAAGCGCTAGGGGGCATTTTAACATAGAGTAGAAGCTTATGCCAAGTACCGTTGTTTTAATTAGAAGTTAGAAAAAAGTGCTCGAAAATCGCTATCGAAATTTTTATAGTTGCTTTTTGCCGTATTGCCGTCTTCTTCAGGGCAGCAATTGGCCGGTTTTCATGAGCTGCAACGCAAAGTTGTAAAAACAACTCTTTCACAAAAAATTACAAAATTTTCAAGCGCTTTTCAGTTTTCTAAAAAATTTTCCGCTCGAAATCGGGCTAAACTTTGGTATCATATGGTTCGGTATAATGAATTTCCGTATAGTGGGGCGGAATCGACTGGAGGAAGACCTTGGCGATCCGCTCGTCGCTCTCGTCGAAGCTTTGCTGCTGTTAGGGCTCAGGAAAAAATTCAGCTAAAACGCCTTTACTCAAACGTAACCGTATTTTCTGCCGAAAATCCATATCTAATTTTTTTACATTCAAATTTTGTTGAAAATCTGGATTTCTATGAGTAATAAAAATAAGTTTGCGGCGTTTCCAAAAAGTAGGATCGAAATCCCAAAGTGAACAAAAAAAGAGCGACAGTAAGACAGACTTCAGTTCATATACATAGGGATATGCGATTGTGGCTTATTCTGGCTGATCGCCTCCGCTGGACTACGAATTTTTTTGAAACATTATTGCGGACCAAATGGAATTTCCTGGTTGCAAAATTTACGAAAGTGGACGTAATTTAAAAAACCAAGGGAAAATCAGCGTAAAATTTTGCACAAGTTAAGCGGTGAGACATTTCTTTCCCGCCCTGCCGGAAGTTCCCAAAGTTTTACCATATAACCTGTGTGTATGGCATTATTTTCAGCTGTATTTGACATTGTTACGATTCTTACTTGTTAGCAGGCCCGTACGGGAGCCGAGATTTCGGTGGGGGGGGGGAAGGGGGCGCCTAACCCAAAACATTTTGGCGACCTCCTCCTCCCCCCGTCGCCACTTTCAGAACATTCGAAAATCGCTGCTATAGGAGCGCCGCAGACAAAAAAGTGTATAAAACCGCTCTACGCTCTCGGTTCGCTGAAATTCGTATAAAAACCTCACAGAAAAGGCGCCGCTGGCCAAAATTTTTGCACAAATTTGCCGCATTAACGAAAAACGAACGCCGTAAGACAAAAAAATTTCGAAAAATAGGTCTTATGGCAATTTAAATTGTTGTAAAAACAAGAATAAATAGCGCCGCAGGCAGAGAAGTTTTTATGAAAAATCATAAGGGTCCCCTTATGAACCTTTCGGAACTCGCTCGATTTCGGGGGCAACTTGCCCCTGTTGCCCCCCCCCTCGTACGAGCTTGCTTGTTAATATCATTCAGAATCAGCGTATTAGAAAGTATTCAATCTATGGTGCTTTCCCCTTATCGGGGGGGATCACACCTCAAAAATTCTAAATTTTGTATTAAAAATACAAAATGTGTATTTTTACGACGCTTGACGACGAAGGAAATGTGCGAGACACGGCCAAGCTCCGAGGTATCACGCAAAACTACGAGAACCGGGAGAAGACGACGCTGGATAACCTGGAACTGCAAACACGCGCGTTGCTTCAAGGACGGCAAGCTGATATCGAACCGCTACAATTTGTATACCAACGAATTAATAAGAAATTTGGAAAAATCTACAACCAATCCGTTAATATTGAATATTATGCTCGAAATTTGAAAGGATTATTGCTCGAAGATGGCCAAGTCCTCCCTTACGGCTATAGCACCAAACTTTCCCCCTGTTAGAAAGGTATTGTGATTAACGCTTGCTTTAAAAAAATATTAGGTTCCCCTTTACCACTATACTATAAAATGTTTTTTGTATGTGTTGTGATAAACTTGTGTGTTTTCTCTGCAAGTGTTGTGAAAATTTGTATCAAATATGTTTTGTAATAAATATTAATTGTAAAAACCCTGTTACGCACCTTAACCGCACCTCATTAAATACATGAAATACATTTTTAGGCAGCAGTTCTAATGTTTCAAGGTATGGGGTGTGTGGCGCCAAGGGGACATAATAGTAGTCTGG